GATTTGAATAAACTTAAATCTACACTACCTGAGGATGCTTCCACATGAGTTTCATCTTTCTTGGCCCTGTGGTTCTTGAGAAGAAGATTTTTAAAAGATGTTATTAATTTTTGAAAATTCACTAAATAAATTCTTTATTATCTCCCCTTGAAAGTGGGCGTGGCCCTTCCTTTGAACAAACTTGAATCCCCATCATCTGAGTATTTTTTGTGGCAAGTTTGGTTGAAATTGGCCCAGTAGTTCTGGAGAAGAAGATGAAATTGTGAACGTTTACAATGATGCCAACGACGACAACAACGACAGACAACGGACAAATTTTGATCAGAAAAGCTCACTTGAGCCTTCGGCTAAGGTGAGCTAAAAAAAACAAAACAAAACAAAAACTAGAACTGTCCAAAAGGGACAAATACCACCCATTGGGTTTTTCAGAGAAGGTACCAAATCACTGTTTTCTAGATGTGAGAGGTGTTCACAATTTGCTTAAACATTTAGAGTGAAAATTTAATTACTCATTATATTTTTTTTTAATGAATGAAACTAAGATGCAGCCCAATAAAACATCAATACTAATAATTACAGTGTTTTTTTTATTACATTGAAAAGATAGTTTGCAACTATATTATGTATCTGTCATCTTTGTGAGACATGACACTCTGCAAATTGATTGTTGAAAAAAAAATTATCATAATTAATTATACAAAGTCAAATTGATCTTAATACTTTTATATCAAATGCATTTTAAAAATAAAAGGATGGTTTCAGTAACTATGTATTTTGACAGACATAAATTACAATTAAGAGGCTTAGACAACAGAGATCTTTAATTCTTTCTGCCCAATTCCCAGGAGATATAGATAAGACCTGCTTGATCAGAGATGCCCTAACAGCTTCCCACACTGAACTCATAAATTAATCTTTAACTGGATGCATGTCCACTCATTACTCCCAAGGGACAAATGGATTTACACTATCTGATGTGTAATGTAAAAACTGTTTTTAATACCTTGTGATTTTTTTTTAGTTCTAATGAGTAGTTTTAAGCTGTAGTTTTCATGTTCTAGATTCTATGTCTCAAACCTTAGACATGAACCCGAAATGACAGTCAATAAAATGGGGAAAAAAACACCTGTAAAATGCTGAAAAATTATCAAATAATGTTGAAAATACCAGGTGCACATCTTCATATGGTAAATAATAAGTGTACAAATTTTCATACAAAGAATCTGGGGGATAAGACGAGCCATGTGCCCATGCCCATTTTTCGGCTATGCAAGAACATTTATTGGAAAAAATCTCTCAATTGTTCGAATTTACTTAAGCATTTTAATGTTTACCGTAGTTTTCAAAATGATATTTATATTCTAAACAAGCTAAACAGTTGACTTTCATTTACTGTCACAAATGTCTAACATGGGTAAGGACTTTTATTAATTAATCTGCATATTGAGTGTTTACACTTATTGTGGAGATATTATAAAAATGTTAACATCGTATATAATGATAATGGTGATCTAGAAGCGCTTTTATTTAAAATAAATAAAACGGGAATAAAAGTATTCAAATATCTATTATAATTTTTATCCGGCATTTTAAATAATTTACTGTAAATAAGTTCATTACTACATGTATACATTTTATTTCCAGTGATCAGAAAAATATGTTATTCCTATAGACATTTTTTATAAAGAAAAAAAAAATTAAAACCAAAAAAATCAACAACAACAAAAAAAAAAAAAAAAAAAAAAAAAAAATCAGAGCATGACTCGAACACTTTCCTCGGTAAACGTCCCTTTAAAGAGCTCATCGCTAACCACTAGACCACGGAGTCACACTAACATTTCCATTTAAATAGCATACAGTTCTCTATATTTAGCAAGCGTTTTTGGACTTAGAATTTTTTAAGACCACGGTGAAAATTTAAGTAACTTAATTTTTTATGTAGAGTGGGTCTTCATACCAAATTTTTGCAAGTGTAAAAAGCAACATCTTTCCATTGCCTTTCATTAATCGTTTCAAAAATAATTCAAAAAAATGGTACGATGACCCACTCTATTTAAAAAATGTAGTTATATAATCCAATTTATGTCAGTTTCTGTGAAAATTGAGCGTGATGCCATTTTGTTGTGTTAATCAGAATCATTTTCGCTGTTACAGTATTCAGGTTTTGTCAAATTTATATGCAAATGGTAATAAGCATTACATTAATTCAACAAAAAGTGAAATTTTTGTAAAATGAATTTATTGATTTTTTATCGATCGTTATGTAGGCATATGGCTCGGCTTATCCCCCCAGTTTCTTTATGCATTAAGTCTCTGGGAACAGATCCGGACAAAACCACATAATAAAAATGAAACCAGAAGTCTCTGATGAGACTGTAGCTCTACTGGTCTGTTTGTATAACAAAAGAAAAGTAGCACTTGGATTTGAAACATTGCAACATGCAACAATAAATAGAATTATGTATCTTAATGTAGTCTACTTTTGTGACAAGTTATATTGAAATCAAATGAAAACTAGGAGTAGTAGCGTTTTGAAAGTATTTCACGGAAATTTCTATTTTTAGTACCGGTAACCATGACAACACCATTCACCCAAATAAAAAAAACAGAAATACATATTATGTATCGTAGTGTATTCTAACTGTGTGCCAAATTAGATTGAAATCAGACCAAAATTGTAGGAGGAGTAACGTTTAAAAGGAATTTCACAGAAATTTCTATTTTAAGTAACCATGGCAACACTGTTCATCGAATTCAAAAACCAATGCAATAAATTATGTATCTTAGTATAGTCTTCTTGTATGCCTAATTATATTAGAAGCAGACTAAAACTGTAGCAGGAGAAGTGTTTAAAAGGAATTTCACAGAAATTTCTATTTTTAGTAACCATGGCAACACCGTCCATTGAATTCAAAAACCGATGCACTAAATTATGCATCTTAGTGTAGTCTACTTGTGTGCCAAGTTATATTGAAATCGGACCAAAACTGTAGGAGGAGTAGCGTTTTAAAGGAATTTCACAGAAATTTCTATTTTTAGTAACCATGGCAACACCGTCCATCGAAATCAAAAACCGATGCACTAAATTATGTATCTTAGTGTAGTCTACTTGTGTGCCAAGTTATATTGAAATCGGACCAAAACTGTAGGAGGAGTAGCGTTTTAAAGGAATTTCACAGAAATTTCTATTTTTAGTAACCATGGCAACACCGTCCATCGAAATCAAAAACCGATGCACTAAATTATGTATCTTAGTGTAGTCTACTTGTGTGCCAAGTTATATTGAAATCGGACCAAAACTGTAGGAGGAGTAGCGTTTTAAAGGAATTTCACAGAAATTTCTATTTTTAGTAACCTTGGCAACACCGTCCATCGAAATCAAAAACCGATGCACTAAATTATGTATCTTAGTGTAGTCTACTTGTGTGCCAAGTTATATTGAAATCGGACCAAAACTGTAGGAGGAGTAGCGTTTTAAAGGAATTTCACAGAAATTTCTATTTTTAGTAACCATGGCAACACCGTCCATCGAAATCAAAAACTGATGCACTAAATTATGTATCTTAGTGTAGTCTACTTGTGTGCCAAGTTATATTGAAATCGGACCAAAACTGTAGGAGGAGTAGCGTTTTGAAAAATTGTTTACAGACAGACGGACAGACAGACAGACAGACAGACAGACAGACGGACGGACGACGGACACCTTACTATCGCATAAGCTCTTCTGGTCTCTGACCAGTAGAGCTAAAAAACACCTGTAAAATGCAAAAAAAATTATCCAATCATGATGAAAATACCAGGTGCACACCTTCATATGGTGAATAAGTGTACAAATTTTCAAACAAATCCTTGCAACAGTTTCCAAGAAATGGTCCGGACAAAATCTCTTCTACAGACTGACGGACATGCCGATTCCAATATACCCCCCCCCCCCAAACTTCGTTTGTGGGGGGTATAACAAAAAAATTTGCCTGCCATATTTTGAAATATTTGGTCTGAGAAACTATTAATTAATTTTTGGGGACCTTGGAAAGACTTCATTGTTGCCCTACCAGATATCTAGAATCTAGGGGTTCCCTTGGACCCATTGGGGGGCCTCCATACCCCCTGGCCAATAAGCTGGCACCCCTCCAAATCCTGGATCTGCCCCTACGCAATGCACATTTTCAGGCGAACCAAGTCCACAGATTGGGAAACATTTTTTCTCGAAATCTTTCAGCATTTCCCACAAAGTCCTTCATAATCATAAGAACAAACTATTCTAAAGGATTCACAAATTTTAATTCAGGACAAAAAAATGTAGGCCTATGTAAGTAGTATATTATATATACTCCAACAAAAAAGATAACTAAATGTGCTATACATGTATAACATTCTACAGCATACAACCACAAAATAAAATGGGTACAGAATTATACAGTTTTCTACAAAAACTACAATGTTTATGGGCCTTGATGGGACTTGCACTAAAGTTTATCTCCATAAAAAGAATAAAATCTTTGCCTTTTAACAAAATAATGTTGAAATCAAAATCAATATTCAACCAATGTCAAGATACAGATTTATTAAAATAAAGCAAACACACTATTATTTTACTTAATTATAAATGTCTACACCAGCTACATAAAACAACTGAACACAAATACTATTTATATACATGTGCTTTGATCTGAAACTACAAAAAACAACAATAAAAATTATATACAAGTTATTTGGTATATTTCATTTAAATCATAGCAGTTCCAATTTAAAATCAAGTAGTTCTAAAACTAAAGAGGTCTGTACTAGAAATCCCTCTATGTCAATACCACTATATATACTCTCAACAAAAATGAGAGAACCAATTTTTACCACATGAATGATCTACAGCATAAAACAGGTATTTCAACTGTTAAAATCTGATGAGAAAACGTGGATTCAGATTTGACATATTGCACATAACGTTGTGATCTTATAACACTGATATCTCTAAATTTTAAATACTTGACTGTAATGATTATTCAGAACTCCTCACTGTTAATATTTCTAAATTCTAACTACTTGTCGGTAATTATGTCAGATTGTTCGGAACTCCTCAGTTTTCATGCTCAGCTCTGGGATTCCGCCATGTAGGCATCGAGCTCAGCGTCTAGGTTACTCTTTGTTTTGGACATGTACGCATCTAACTGATTGTCCAGTTCCTCGGCCGTCATTCCTGATGACCCTCCGCGACCCCTCCCCCCTCTACCTCGACCCCCACGACCTCTCTGGAAGCGATTACCTCCCCTGTTGCCACGATTTCCTCTGCCACCTCTCCTAAAAAACAAAACATGAAATATAGTAAAGATTTTTTCATTAAAGTCTATATCATGCATATATACATATATTTGCAATGGCATACAAATTTTGAAATTCAAAGTTTACTAAAAGTCATGACTGTCACCATATTTCAATTCATTAATCACAAGATGGTAATTAATCATAAGCTTATAAAATATAAACACTAATTAAATAAAAGTCAGGTTTGCCCCACAAAAATAAGCATGATGACTGGCTATATAAGGAAGGCTGCAAAAGCTACTACTCGATTTTTCATAAACATTTATTAAAATTTTTGAAATTTCAAAAGCTGAGGTTTGAAATTTTACAGGAAGCATAATAATTATGCATTGCTACTCTTCATAATAATGCTCAAATAAAAGCCTTACAATGTACCATTTAAAGGGCTTGAAACTAACACCCAAGCTATATTAGTGGCAACTGAGTGACATTTCCTGCAAATTAATTCCAATGTGACAGCATTGCCCAATCTTTTTAGAGCTTGTTTTGGAAAATGCCTTTGTCTAATCTTCATTCACACATTTGATATTTGAGATTTCATATATTATAATACTCTCCACTACAAACTGAGTTAAAGTCATGTTCAGTGATAGAACTCTAAACCATGGTGCAGAAATGCATGTACTGTGTATACTAGTATACATGTATGTTATTTCATCAAACTTCAAAACTGGTAGATTATTCTGTGGACTTGTTGAAATTATACCCTATCACGCCAGCTGACATAAAAAGTTAGCTTCAAGCTGGGTTAGCTGGCTTTTACTTCTAATGGTGGAATGCTAGACTTTCATCTATTTTGTCACCATCTAACATGCACAAATGATAATCCCAATATTAATTAGTCTCTTGAAGGAAATCCCTATCATTGCATAAGTGCTAATAAGAGTTAAAGAAAACAACAAATTCAGTGCATAATGGTCAACCCAGAAGTGTAATCCCGAGATTGATCTGTATTTTGAAACTAAAATGCAGTATAAATACAGAATTTCTGTGAGAATAAACAGCTCTGTTTAACATATTTATTGTTTTCTGGCTTTTATCATATATCAACTTAATCATTTTGCAAAATTTCATTTTTGCCAAAATTAAATATATACAGCGGTCATTCATGATGTAGAACTTTCTTGTCATGCAAGCTTTATTCTTTCTTCTTAGTTGTTAATTTCTGCTTTGCAATATACAGTAGATATACAAGCACTTGATGCAATTTTGTTTTTTAAGATATTCGTTCTGACCATTTTCAAAAGAAATTGATAGGTATTCTTTTATTTGTGAATGCATTGATTGACACCTTTAGTAAATTCCGGTTGGAGATGGTCCTAGAATGGCTTTTACATTCTCAACACCAAAATTAAAGAATTCACGTTGGAAAAAAATAGTGTTGACATACTTTTTACCAATGGGTGATTATTCCACGGAATCGCAATTTGGAAAATTCTGCAGATTTCTTAGATCGCTACTAACAACAAAGTTGTCTTATATGTACTGGGACAAATTTCAGCTGAAAATCTGTGACTGCCTACATTGTGTCAATTAATACCACGTGGAAAAAAGTACTTCTACAGTAATTGTAAATGTGTTATGTGACCTATATTTATTTTGTGGGGATAATGACAACAGCGAAAATTTACACATGTATTAACTTTGGAAAAAGAGTTACTTTTTAAAGATGGGAAGAAAACCTATGAACAACAATTCAAACTATTAACAGCAGCGTTTTTTTTCCTTATATAACTGGTACCGATAAACGGTACCATTCCCAATGCCAAGAACGTCAATTTTTCCCAATTTTGAGACTAAAAATTCCCAATTCAATTGCTAAGCAACAGACTGCGATGACATCGTATTTCTTTTTATATGAAATATTATACAAGTTGACTTGTTGTTTCACTTCCGATTAAATCGAAAGTAGAGATTACGTAATATGGCAGGACCTGTGGTGTAGACAATTCTCCTTTGTTCTACTACGATGCTATTTTTCCCAATTGAACCGGTACCGGACCCTTTCCCAATGGGTAGAAAAAAATCGCTGAACAGACAACCAGAAGTCTTATCTGACCAATTTCTGGGGCAAAATCAACAAAAGCAACAAAAAAAAAACAAAAACAAAAATGTAACACATATAAAATCGTCAACCCTTGTGCATAGGTTAAAATACACTGGAACTACTGAAACCAAAATAAAAATGGGTAAATCAAAATCTAAGTACTTTTGTCAATCTCAGAAATCAAAAGAAAAGAACTTGGGTAAATGTGAGCAACAAAAAACTATACAAGGGCTGCTTGCAACAATCTTCAGACTCACATGTTGTCATGGTTACCCCCTCTCCCACGTCCCCTTCTACTACAATGTTAATGTGCTACATATAGGTTATTTATATATATACATTTGCTTCTGTCTTATTTCTGTCTGAAATATATCTAAAATGTGACATTTTGTCATGAACAATCAAGCTATTCTATATTTCTTTTTTTTTTAATAGCACATGTATAAAAGAGTATTTCTATTTTACAACTTTTATTTTTCAGTTCTGTTTTCCTAAAAATATTAAATAAAATTTCCAGAACAAGCGAGAATTATGACTGCGTGCAATGTACAAAAATACAAGCAGCAATACATTAAAACACTCACGAGTTGTCATAGAAACCCCCTCGTCCACGACCCCTAAAAAATGGAGCATGGAGGAATTCATCGATATTCTCAACAATAATATAATGTGTCTCACTTATACAATGTATACAAACACAATTACACACAGTCAGCATCTGAAGCTCTGTGTAAGACTTACCCTCGGTCTCCGAATCCCCCTCTTCCCCTGCCTCGGCCCCTGAACAAAAATAAAACATAGGTCATTGGTCAATAACCCACCAATCAAACATTCAACACTGGATACTTAATCTGTTTTTATTCAACAGTGTTAAAATTTCACTATCTCTCAAAAACTACCAATTGCGATGGTTTCAATTCACGATTCAAGAAATTAATTTCAATTTCGTATAAGCATTAAAACGTTTTTTAAAACTAATGATAGCATTCACAATGGGTTTAATTTTGCAGAAAAATGATAAATCGCGAAAATAGTTAAATTAAAACCATTGTGATTATTTTCCAATCTACAGTAGTTCAAAAAAGCTAACAAGGGGTCATTCCCTGATCAGTTTTCTAAATCAATATATGTGTAACTACCAGTACTAGTTGTTTAACTACTTGCCATTAATTGAGCCTTTGTCTCAGGTGAGCTAAAAATGCAAGATCTTTACCTGAATCCACCTCTAGGACTTCCGAATCCTCCCCCTTGTTTGTTGGGCTGTCCAAATCCACCACGCCCACGTCCTGAAATAAACACAACAAACATAACATTCTACACGACTGTAAAAAGAATTCTTTGACAGAACCCTCTCTTTCCTCATTATTGTTTACGATTGACTAAATGTGGTGTCAGTCTCTCTGAAAGACATCGAACTAAACCAATGTAAAGTGTCTAAGGTCCAATGTGTCATTGTTTACAATGAACCATACGATAATGTCTGATGTCTCAGTGTCTGGTTTTGATTTTAACTATTTTGACATTGAGTCATAAAAATGTTTCAACTTCATTTTATGAAAAAATACCGAAACAAATCCAAGTACATATAAGAGTGTGATTAAACCTGCATGGACCTTAAAATTTGCATGGTTCTGCATTTTCATGTGTTTCACCTTCTTATGATAGGTTTTTCTGTCTAATAAAATTTGGTATGGTCCTGTGTGTTCCTAGAGTCTGCAGAACAAATGTCCTGTCCGACACTGTGGTCCAAAAAATTTCATAAAGACTGTGGTGTAAGTGTAAAGACTTCTTATAAAATCTTTTTCAAAACAAATTTAATTAAATGATAATACATCATGTCTGGAAAATGCAGGACAGTTGTGCTACCATTCATTTTTCAATAGAAATCAGGCTTAGTATAATAACTTTTACAACATTGAAAGTTATTAAGTCATCTATAGCCACATAAGCAAAAATTAATTCTCTTTAAAAATAACCTCTAGGACTCATTGCATCTCCACTCGGACCTCCTCTGGATCCACCCCTCTGTCCTCGTCCACCACCCCTCTGTCCTCTGGTGAATCCTCCACCTCCTCCACCACGACCCCGCCCTCTGACAGCGCTCAGATTCAACCTGGCTTTCACATTGGTCCTACCCAAACGCTGTTTCAAGCTGGTCTACAATTAATTCCAAATGTTACTTATAATATTGAACACCTGCAGAAAAGGCTTAAATACACATCAAGAAAACTTTCTGCGAAACACTTTCTTGAAGTTGAGTCCAATTTTCACTGTAAAGAATATAGTCCCCAGACCAGGTATCTTGATTTCTATACTGTAAACCAACTTTTATTCGCGTGCAAGAAAAATTCGCGAGTTTCGCGACCTACTTTAACTTGCGAATATTAATCACTATAAATCATTTATTTTGCTTTGTTTTTGTAAAGAATGTTTCCTCAGTCTCGAAAATTAATCGTCGCGAATTGATTTCAAACTGACAAATCGCGAATAAAAGATGAAGCAAATAATAGTTGGTTTACAGTAACTTAGGCCACTGAAGGGCCCCAGTAGCAATACAATCTTTGCAATACTAATGGTAAAGTTGTTTAACAAAACATCAGAAAACCAAAATGTGCTGAGTTCTTAAAAACTTTCATGTTCATTTCCCAACTTCTCAAATTGTCATTATTTTTCAAATTCTGACAGTCACAGCTCTAGCTTCTATACCAAAAAATGTAGTGTTACTGCAGGGTTGGCCGGGAAATACCAGTGGTGGGAATTACCACTGGTAAATACCAGTATTTCCTGTCCCGGGAAATACTACAAATTTCTCTAAAGTGGGAAATACTGGGAAATACAAATCTAAAGTTTTTTATTTCATTAGTTCATTCAATCTTATGCAAAATTCAAAAATAAAATAAACATAAAAACAAAAGATGAATAATATGGAATATGTCTCAAATTGCAATTGAACATATTTAGAATGTATCACTACTCCAGGTCCCACAGTACCCATATAAGCATTCTGAAACATTTCCCTGGCTGTATAAAACTGAAGTTTTCCAATTTAAGTTTCTTTTCAGTTTTGTAAAATTATTAAATTTATTAATTATAAATCCATGAAAAAAAAACCCAACTTGTTTTAAACCTTCTATAAACACTGTAGCTATTACAAACAATCATGTTGTTTTAACAAATTGCTCTGGACAGTTTTGTGCTCATGCTTTAAGAGATAATTACCTTGAGTAGAACTGAAAGGCTTCTTCTTACATACTCTACATTTAAGAATTTTCTTAGATAAAACATAGGTAATCAAAGATTACGAAGCTCACCTCGACGAAGGTTATCTATAAGTAAGGCAAATCTCACATCATATTTTTTCTAGCTAGTGTACATCCCAAGATCAATATCTATACAAGTTTGGTTTAAGAAGGACTTATAATTACTTGGAAATAGACCTGCTCAAAAAACTTTAACCTGGTCACTCATCTGGAAAATCTAGGTCAGATTCAGCATCCAAAGCAAGTGTGTAGTGTTCATCCCTAGATGCATCATCCATGCAAGTTTGGTCCAGGTAGGGCGTATAGTTACTTGGGAATGGACCTGCTCCAAAAACTTTAACCTGGTCACTCGTCTGGAAAATCTAGGTCAGATCCAGCATCCGAAGCAAGTGTGGTAGTGTCCATCCCTATATGCATCATCCATGCAAGTTTGGTTCAGGTAGGGCTTATAGTTACTTGGGAAAGGATCTGCTCCAAAAACTTTAACCTGGTCACTCATCTGGAAAATCTAGGTCAGATTCAGCATCCGAAGCAAGTGTGGTAGTGTCCATCCCTAGATGCATCATCCATGCAAGTTTGGTTCAGGTAGGGCGTATAGTTACTTGGGAATGGATCTGCTCCAAAAACTTTAACCTGGTCACTCATCTGGAAAATCTAGGTTAGATTCAGCATCTGAAGCAAGTGTGGTAGTGTCCATCCCTAGATGCATCATCCATGCAAGTTTGGTCCAGGTAGGGCGTATAGTTACTTGGGAATGGACCTGCTCCAAAAACTTTAACCTGGTCACTCATCTGGAAAAATCTAGGTCAGATCCAGCATCTGAAGCAAGTGTGGTAGTGTCCATCCCTATATGCATCATCCATGCAAGTTTGGTTCAGTTAGGGTGTATAGTTACTTGGGAATGGATCTGCTCCAAAAACTTTAACCTGGTCACTCATCTGAAAAATCTAGGTCAGATTCAGCATCCGAAGCAAGTGTGGTAGTGTCCATCCCTAGATGCATCATCCATGCAAATTTGGTTCAGGTAGGGCCTATAGTTACTTGGGAATGGACCTGCTCCTAAAACTTTAACCTGGTCACTCATCTGGAAAATCTAGATTAGATTCAGCATCCGAAGCAAGTGTGGTAGTGTCCATCCCTAGATGCATCATCCATGCAAGTTTGGTCCAGGTAGGGCTTATAGTTACTTGGGAATGGATCTGCTCCAAAAACTTTAACCTGGTCACTCATCTGGAAAATCTAGGTCAGATTCAGCATCCGAAGCAAGTGTGTAGTGTTCATCCCTAGATGCATCATCCATGCAAGTTTGGTCCAGGTAGGGCGTATAGTTACTTGGGAATGGACCTGCTCCAAAAACTTTAACCTGGTCACTCATCTGGAAAATCTAGGTCAGATCCAGCATCCGAAGCAAGTGTGGTAGTGTCCATCCCTAGATGCATCATCCATGCAAGTTTGGTCCAGGTAGGGCTTATAGTTACTTGGGAATGGATCTGCTCCAAAAACTTTAACCTGGTCACTCATCTGGAAAATCTAGGTCAGATCCAGCATCCGAAGCAAGTGTGGTAGTGTCCATCCCTAGATGCATCATCCATGCAAGTTTGGTTCAGGTGGGGCGTATAGTTCCTTGGGAATGGACCTGCTCCAAAAACTTTAACCTGGTCACTCATCTGGAAAATCTAGGTCAGATCCAGCATCCGAAGCAAGTGTGGTAGTGTCCATCCCTAGATGCATCATCCATGCAAGTTTGGTTCAGGTGGGGCGTATAGTTCCTTGGGAATGGACCTGCTCCAAAAACTTTAACCTGGTCACTCATCTGGAAAATCTAGGTCAGATCCAGCATCCGAAGCAAGTGTGGCAGTGTCCATTCTAGATGCATCATCCATGCAAGTTTGGTCCAGGTAGGGCTTATAGTAACTTGGGAATGGGACTTGCTCCTAAAACTTTAACCGGGACGCCGACGCTAACGCCGACGCCGACGCCGACGCCAACGCCGGGGGTATAGCATAAGCTCATCTCGACTTCGTCGAGGTGAGCTAAAAAAACCAATTGGGATCTTTGGGTTAATTTCATGGACCTTTACTGACTACATCTGACTCAAGCATGAAACAAATGACACTCATGACTGGTAAATAAGTATACTGTGTTATGATCAGGGATGGGGTAATGGTAATGTGTAATGGTAATTGACAGTAATTAATTACAAATTTCGATGTAATTTAAAGTAATGTGTATTTGGCTCAATTTTCAATTACATGTAATTGTAATTTAATTAATTACTTTCGAGAAAAGCATGTAATGCACAATTACTTTTCAATTACATTCAATTACACTGGTGTTTAATAAATGAGAAATACCCCCCCCCCCCTTTCAAATCCCATACACTTTATTCAAGAAAGGTTAACTGATTTTTTTGGACAAAATAGTCTATAATAAATTTTTAAAAAAAGAAGTTATATATTTCCTTTATTTAGTGAATTGCTGTTTCCTCTTTAAAATGCATTTTCTTCAAAACTTTTTAATCATATTTATCTCCCTGTTTATAATGTACAAATACATACATGTAGAATTAATAATTTCGATTATTAAGTTGTTTATGAATTGGCACTTAATACATCTAGTCCAATGGCTTCTAATCCTTTGTTTGCCATATCTACAGCTTGTGTTAGAAGTGATTATCAGGTGCTAATTAGTACTGCCCTAGGGTCATGTACATATTGACACTGAACTGAGAGATTTTACACTCATTTTGAGTTTACCTAATGGTAGTTTTGTACCCACACATTGACTATGTCTTCCCACAAATCTTTTTTAAAATATATATTTTGGTGTTATAACACCATTTTTTCTATTTTAATAAAAATCTGTGGGAATTAAGACAATAGTTTGACACAATATGTCACATACTAACATTTTGAGATATATTGCTTAAGGACATACGCAACGTAGTTTGAACATTATTGTCTTTTTCCTTGGAGTTGAAGAGTTCCAATACTTAAAGGAACTGTGTTCTACATTTTTATGTCTATATATGCTATTGTACACTTCTTCTAAAACAAGTTTGGATAAACAAAACATCTAGAATCAGTGTTCGAAATTAGCGTCGGCCCGTCGGTCCTGCGCCGACGTACAAACGGAAGGACTCACGAATAGTATGACTAAATGGGTCCTTGAAATAATTTTGGGCCGATGATGATATCTTCTTTTCATGTGCATTTTAAATAAATACTGAAGATTTAATTTTTTTTCCTGCGTGGAATAAATTTACGCTATATGTATGCGGTTACAAACTTTCTACGGAAAATTGTCCAAGTATACTTATAAGTACATTTTAACAACATATTGTGGTAATCTAAGAAACCTGTGTAATTTTCTACCCGCCGATTTTAAAAACAGAAATTGTAATTCCAAGGAAAAATCTAAACACATGTTAAGCTCTTTACATGTTATATATGACCAAGTAAGACTGTTTGACGATTGATGTTTTACCGTTTCATATTGTTAATACTTGCGAGTTGTAGTTACCCTTTATTAAATTGACATATTTCATATGAAGCAATAAACTTACCGAGATCATCAATACGTAAAAGTTTATTTTTCCCAAATATTTTATGGTATTAATAATTTTTGGGCCTACGCTGCCCTGGACTCATGTGGTCCCTTTCTCTGTGGGTCCTTTGGACCCATAGAAAATAATTCTGAATTTCGAACACTGTCTAGAATATATGTTCAGTTATTTTTGTATATTTTTCTTTGAATTATACGAGAATTTTCATCAATTGATATCTTTTCAAAACCCCTGGTAATGCACGCTGATTTTTTGTCTACGAACATCTGATGGCACTATAATCTTGAATTAAAAATATCTCGAAAAATTATCAGTAGGTAAGGTACGTTGCGTATGTCCTTAATTAGGATGATGAAAAAAGCAGGAAACAAGGCAAAACGCATCCATTGTTTTGCATAAATTATTACATACATCAGAAAGCTTAAAAATGGACACATGAATTAAGGGAAAACAGCATCCAGGTCCTGTAAAAGGACTGTGTACCAGTTGAAAAAATTGGCTCTTTTTTTCCAAAATTAAGGTAAAATTCCCAACGGATGACCAAATTCAATTTTTTGATGCTGTTTATATTAAGAAATAACATGTTTTGAAATTATAATCATTTTTAAAGAACAAGTCCACTATCTAACTCTTTAATCAACAAATAAATATAAGTCAACAACATTTCCCAATTTTGCCACTTTTTCGATTAAAAATTCACAATTAAAAGGGTACAGCACCCTGTACCAAAAAGGGTCAATTAAGCCCTGAAACTTGCTATTAGTCAGTATTTATGTATTCCCGTCACAAATGCCCCTGTGTAAAATATCTTCATTGTGGCAGAATTTTTTTTTAAACCTGATAAGGGGATGCAAATATTTAAAAATTTCATTAACGTCTAAACAATGTTTACATAATCATTATGTAAAAAAAAAAAAAAAGAAAAGAAACTGAATCTATATGAATATAAATGAACGTTCATGACTATTTATCATTGTTTATTTTTATACATTTTTTCTTAATGTAATGTATAATTTAATTAATTACATTTGCAAAGTAATTGTAATTTAATTAATTACATTTCAAAATCCTTGTAATGGTAATGGTAATTTAATTGAAGGTTTTGGGCAAGTAATTGTAATTTAATTAATTACTTTCCTGTGTAATTGACCCCATTCCTGGTTATGATTTTATAAAATGAATTACTTGGAAACCAAAATTTTTTAAATCATGGAAAGTGATACCAGGAGATATCTTAGCCAATAAGGTGTACTACATGTCAATATGAATGAAATATGTAGCTATTTCTTATTTCCCAGTATCTCCCGGTAAATACCAGTAATTCCCGGTAAATACCAGTATTTCCCACCCTCCTGGGAAATACGAGTATTTCCCAGTTTTTTGCCAACCCTGAGTGTTAGAGCCTTGAACACTCACCTTTTTGATTTTCAGAGCTGCCTGTACGGTAGGTCTGTTTGCCATTTGCTGTGCTAGCCTCCGATTGGCTGAGGACGCTTGCTGGGCCTCCGCCATTCTGGCCCGGATAGCCTGGGGTGAGGACGGTGATGTCGGCGTCTTGACAATGTTGGTAAATCTTCGGGATTATAAGGAGAGGATGCATTAGTCTTACTAGGGCCAAAACCCATCACTGCAAGACTTTAATTTTTATTGACTTTTTCTCCATGCTTTTTGATAGGTTGGCTCATTACTGCAAAGCATATCAATTACGCACACAAGTTGTTCTTTATTCTTTGCTATTTGCCCATGACTGCAAGGTAATCGAACATTTCTTTCTTTTTTTTTTTTAAATCTTTTTTACCTTACTAGAGCAATGCTAATGATAGCTTTTTTTATTGTCACAATTGTGACCTGTGCCTTACTAGAGCCAACCATCCTGTAAAATCTTACTTAATCAAAATGTCATTATTTCATTATAAAGATTTGTTAAAATAGCATCATGCACTTATTTAAACACTAGAAAATAAAGCAGTAAACATTTAATACAAACCATATCTTTTTTGCATAAGTCAACCCTTCTGATTTAAAGAATTTGCTATTTCAATAATTTCTCAATTCAAAATTTTAATCCTTAGTTTCTGAAAGATGCGTGTTTCTAATGATTTCATTTTGTTTTCCATGCATGTTTAAACACCCTCCAAAAAAGGTGTGTTTATGTTCTGGAGAAAAAGTCTTGTGATCTACAATTAAAATATGCTAGTCACTTCAACAAGTGACAATAAGACCATCCTCTCCTAAACCATCCAGAGGGTGGTTCCTCCAGGGACGGCCCTCCTTACATGCTGTAGACCACCCCCTCACCAGGGTCTACAACTCTTCTCACCTGTCATTAAGCGACATCTTCGTTCCACTTTTTAGTACGATTTTGGCTGGGACTGCCATGATGTAGCTATTCCACCTGAAAAATAAAAGAGGAATTCCAATGCATAATCTTTGATTTCTGAGAAGTTAGGTCCATTGAATGAAAAAAATAAGCATTCTTTTTAATAAATGACACAGAATAAACTAATTAAAATATTGATGCCCAAAAATACCCAAACACTGATGTCTGCGACCCAGGAAAGCGAAACAGGGAAGACAACTAAGAGAAGTATTTTGAGTGTGATGGAAATTAAGCAAATTCTAAATGACTGAATTTATGGCTTTAATCATTTTCAATTTAAGAAATTAAGAAATGTAATTTTAATTGCAAAAATTTCCTTATTTTTACAGCTTTTTTAAACTGCCAGCACTTTATTCTACTCATATCATGAAATACCAACTATGTTTCGATCCGGACCAAGACAAATTTTGTTTAAAAATCTGTCCACATTTGTGCTATGTTGGGGACTTCATTTATGCACGAAAAAATCTTAAATTATGTTGACAATAGTTAGAAAGTAGCAAATGTTTGCAAACACTGACGTTTTAAAGACAAACTGAAAAAATAGTGTAAACTATACTTCATACTCCACGTACATTTTCATCAGTCAGGGGTGAGACTGAAATCCGTCATTTCTGAAAAATGATGGATAATCGTCATATTAACTAACTACGTATTTTCGTCATTTTTGTCAATATGACTTACTATCGTCATATTTTCTTTTTCAACTTAATTCTTCTATCCTGGTTACATAAAAGCGAAATTTGAATTCACTGCTGAAAGAAGAGTGTTTACGCAAGAATCATTTCATCCGGGTCACTAATTACTGCCGACCACGTGCGTTAGAACATCAACATGGAAGGTGAAAGTTATTATTTAGCGGCAAAATGTCTAAATTTTGGTAGAACTAATTCGCCATTTTTACATGGCTTTTAGCCCTATAAAAACATATAGTACACCGTCTGGAAGAATACGTACTTGTAGAGAAAAGTCTCGACAAAAAGTTAAAGCCATAAAAAAGTAGTGCGCCCCGTAAAACAAGCGAGATATTTCAGTGCGCCCAAACCCTCCATTTTGAAAAAAGACGGAATATTGTCATTTTCGCCCTCTTTCCTATTTAATGCAAATAAATTGACAAATAACTCTTCCACTCTTATTTTTGCTTGGAAAATTTGTTCTGTCAACATAACCAGTATTGTAGTCAACCGTATTAGAGAAATGAAGTTTGTTTACGATGTTTTTTGTCCTTTTTTCGGTTGGTGGATCTAGCATTTTTCAAAGAGAGGTAACTCGGCATTCTAGAAACACTCAAAATTTTTATGACTGTTTTTCATCATTTTCTTAAAAATGACGAGTTTAAGTCATAATAAAAATTTTATTTTATGACTAAAAATCGTCATTTTAAAAATGACGGATTTCAGTCTCACCCCTGACTGTTCATCAAAATATTCTTAATATTAAATAATTTACGTCAGAATATATCAGAAAGCAGTATTGCATTATTGATACTTACCTAACCGTTAATTCTCAACTGTTGTTATAAGTAGGTCAGAATTTTTAATTTAATATCATTGTTTTCTTCACATAACAAATTCGAACGTTAATAAACAGTTATCTAACTTTGCAAAAAAGTGGCCTTAGCTGGAATAGCTACATGATGGTTTCCTTTTGAAGCCCACTTGAAAAAAAATATATAGAAATAGACAGTCATGATTTTGAATATATTATTTTTTTAAGCATAATTGTGAAAAATGAAGCAAGAGATTGCTATACACAATTTGAACAGAGGTAATTCGAGTTAAGTTGTAATTTGATCTTATAGGGGAGGATAGATTCTCCTTCCATAAAAGCTTATGAATAGGGGAATAAACCTACGTTTAATTATTTTACAAGAAAAAATATACTTTATGCTTACCAATAACTAGCACAATTTATACCGATGGTCGGTATGTATTTTGATATTTGTGGATTGTTTGCAGTTAGTATCCCGTTCTGTATGCAGTTTACGTTTTCGACACCGGTTCAAACGTTTACTTCCGTTTGCCCATGGGTAATTTTTTTTTCGTTGACCCAAAATAATGTGTTCAATTATATTTTTGGCTCATGAACAAAGGAAAAATATAGAAATCATATTCAAAACTTGAAATAATAAATCTACAAAGCATATCGATGAATATGGCAAGATTTCTTTATTATCCAAGGAATATATTTCCATTTTTATCCGGTTTTATAATTTGTTTATTTTTGGAAAAAATGGAACCATCCGTTAAGGTTTAAAAGGTATATTTGAAATTCTTAATTCAATAAGTTATACATCTTTTTATAAAATCTTTTGTTTCTGATTATTTATAAGGAACCTTTTATCAAAGAAAATGATTTTTTATCGCAACAATTTATTCTTAACGTTTAGGAAGAAGTGTTGTTATAGCTAGACAAGTCTGTTCCAACCTAGCAACAGACGAATCCAAGTGCAAACACAAATACATTGGGAGCATATCGACTTACTATACTTGGAAGTTAAAATTCAAATATATAAGTAAAATGGTGAGTATTTAAGTAATAATCAAACATTTTAATGGTGACTCTTCCATGGTATTATTCTAAAACGAATATTTTGCGTTTAAAATGCCTTTTTATGGAATTATTTGCGAAAATGGGGTGCAACGTGAGATTTCTCCATGTTTGAACAAATTTCATTTCAACACAAACCTTTGCAGAATATACACCACATTCAAATCAAATAGTCAGATACTGCACTGTATTATCAGTGAGGATTAAATCCGATTATTCTCAAGCAATGCTTCAGCATGAAATTGAAGTTTTGATTCATTAATAGCAGAAGCATAATAAATTATCTAGATCTATGTCAGTCTGTGTAAATAGTTTAAACTTATTTAATCATGGAGATTAATTTGCACACTGTGTTTTTAGACAACAGTGCGTCGTGCCCTAACAGGAGGGGCAAGAGAGAGGCAGTTAGAAAATATGAGAAGACAAGAAGATTATCGGGAAGACACAATTCGTCGTTTACATGAGGAGAAACGACTCGAGGCAAATATGAGCAATGAGGAACGTATATCGGAGAAACGTTTTATCAGGCGAACTATGATGGAGCAGAAAGAGAGAGAAATGGAGGAGGCAATCCTAAAGGTTAAATCATTCAAATAAACTTCAAACCAAACTTTAAATGCATTCAAGTTCAAGAAATATGTATCCGAACAACAATTATGCATGTGTATCTTTGAATTTCTGTGTCTGTGGTGTATTGATTTAGATAATTGTTTACATTGTGTGATTTTCTTGCTCCTTTTTGAAAGCTTTGCTATAAAAATACTAGGATAAGGTACAATAAACTTGTATTAGGTCACTATCGGATCAGTTGAATAAAGGAATACAGAAATTGTAAAATGTTTATTGCTGAATATTTTAGGCCCAGAGAGATCGCTTAATCAAAGAAGAACAGATGCTACATGAAGAAAGGCTGGCTGCAGAGCTGGAGAAACGGAAATTAGATTCCATTAGGGATGAGAAAATGAGACAACAGATCAGGGAAACAAGGTAGTTTATTAAAATCATGTTAACATATATTTTAAGACTTAATTAACACAGGGTTTGACATTAAGGCACGTCCGACCAACCCAGTCTAGTAAATGAGTGGTCCGGTCGTGTAAAATGTACATGAAATAGACCGACTGGTCGTGTCGAAGAAATAAATGTTAGACCTCAAGTCAGTCTTTCAAATTAATATTCTGAAACCTTTAAAAAAAAATTTCTCTTATTTGTCCGATTGTAAATACAGCCACCGCTCTGTAAAGTAAAATTTTAAACTTCCCCGCATGACACTATTTTTAGCCACTGCTGTAATAGACGAGTCGCGGTCAAATGTTACATTAATCATGTTAATGTTGCTTTCCTTATTTGTACAGTCTAGAGTTGAGGGAGCTAGAGGCTAAGTTACGATCAGCTTATATGAACAAAGAAAGAACAGCCCAGATAGCAGAAAAAGAAGCCCTCAAGTTTGACAAAATGGTATTGTTTTTTTACAACTTAATACCTAATTTTGCAGAATTGTTGATATAACACTTGTATCAGAACATTCATAAAGAAGCATTTTTTTTACCTAAAGTGTATCTTTTTATCTGAACGTGTGCTTTCAGCCTTGTTCTGTGTATCTTTGAATTGTTGACTTATAAATATTGCTTTGTGTTGTTTTTTTTTGGTTTTTTTTTTTTTTACATTTACTCCACCATATTTTAAAATCTTCTTAGAAACGGGATTCAGAGATTGCCCATGAAATGAAATTGCAACACGATCGAGCGGAAGAGGCCGAGAGACAGAGAGAGATCGAGAAATACCGAGAACAGATCCGCTATCAACAGGAACTGGAGCGACAGTTAGAGGAGCAGGAACAGAAGAAACAACAGGCCTACGAGGAGTTCCTCAAGGAGAAACTCATGATAGATGAGATCGTACGCAAGATCTACGAGGAGGATCAAAGGTTAGTACGGGTGGAGGAGAGAAGTTTTCTTATATAATCAAACTTTTTTGAGAATTGAAGAAGAATTTTATGTGCATTTTGAATACATTTTTATTGTCTTTTTTATGTACATGTATATAACATGTTATCAATTATTGAAAAAAATTCTCTTGCATTCAATGTTTATGGTAGAGAATGTTGCTGCTGTGGTTTAACTCTTTACAACTTACTGAACTGTGACGCAACATACACCTAATGTTCATGTCATAGAAATATGACGTTACCTTTTCCCTGCAAGCACTTTATAGCGAGGTACAAGTTTCTCTAAAGTTTAGCGTAAATAATTATTTTGTAATATTTTGATAAGATTAAAACTTTTCTTAGTTTATGAGATTTTAGCAAGTATAAATTAGAAGGGAATTGGCATTAAATTGAAGATTAATTTTACTTTTGAAAGTGCGTGAAAAATGCGGGGAAACGGTATATGCGTGATTTTGCGTTAGAAATAGGAAATGGTATATGCGTTAAAATGCATGACTGCGGGGAAGAGGGTTAATCTTAATACAAGTGCCTGCTAACTCATTAGAATAAGAAAATTTTATTTAAATTTGGGTTTTATAACTTATTTCATAATATGAAAAAATAATCTATCTAATAAAAGAAAATCTGTATAATGTACACTGAAATATTAACCAACATCCACCAATTGAAAGATATCGACGTGAAATGACTAGATTCACATTATATCTGTTTGTTAACCAGAGAGAGAGAACTTACAATGTCCAAGAAGAAGGCCACCCAAAGGTACATCCAGGAATTCAAACAAGCTCGGGAGGAATGGAAGGTCCTGGAGAAAGAGAGAATGGAGGAGGAGAATCGCAAAATTCTACAGTTCTCCAAACTACAGGAGGAGAGAGAGAACGCCCGAATGGAGAGCAAAAAACAGAAAGAAGAGGCGATGGCCAGAGTACAACATGCGGTAAGTGGGATTTTGTTGGTGGCTAGGTAGACAAGACAAGGGAGGTAATTTTTCTGCAAGTTTGGGACCAAAGGGATATAGGTGATGTAGATGTTTTTTTGTTAGCATGAAAAATGTTTAAGTAGTCAAAGAAGAACTCATAAATTTGTAGGAAAGGAGGAAAGTACCTTTAAAAATTAAATATTTTAAACAATGATCTTGTTTAAAATACAGCAAAAATTGTCCAATTAATGTTCATATTTTTGCTAAAATTCTTCAAAAGATGCTTATAACATAATGCTAGTTAAAGGGAGATAATTCTACATTTACCTTGCTCTTCTATGTAAGTATGAAGCTCTAACAGGAAACATTTTATCATATCTAGCTGGCAGAGGACATCTCGGCCAAGGAAGCGGCCCGGGAGGAGATGGAGAGAATCCGACTGGAGCTGTACCTAGAGGAGCAGGAGGAGAAAGAGAGGCAAAAAGAAAGGGTAGGTGGATCTAAAAAGAGTAAGGGTAGGTGGATCTAAAAGTTACAGTGAAAAAAGGTGTGGATCTTTTTTGGCTGCCAGTTCAATGTTTTAAGAACTCTTAATCTGAATTAGATGTTAAATACTTTGACAAACTACTGTAAATTGTTTTTAAAAATGATTGGAATTTTAAGTGAAAGGGGGAAAAATGAGAAAATGTGTTTGTGGCATTTTAGAACTATGCATGTAGATGAAACTAATCTGATATATCACAGTGACTTTTCATGTAACTTTTATGTACATAATACAGCTTTTTAATTCCTGTCAAGTCAGTTTATTATATTGTAAGTAGAGTGTACTTCATTCCTGTAATTTTGTGTAACAGGAGGAGATGGAGAAGAGAATTCGCCAGAGACTGGAGTTACAGAGTACACACGCCCAACAGATGCACTTCAAGAATCTCCGCAGGAAAGCCGAGGAGGACGAAGAGGAGGAATTCAGGCAACAGGTAAAGGGGGACTACTCTGTCTAGTGGTATATGTAACGGGTAAAGAGGGGCTACTCTGTCTAGGTATAAATAACAGGTAAAGGGGGACTACTCTGTCTGAAGTAATAGGTAAAGGGGGACTACTCTGTCTTAAGTAATAGGTAAAGGGGGACCACTCTGTCTAGATATAACAGGTAAAGGGGGACTACTCTGTCTTAAGTAATAGGTAAATGGGGACTACTCTGTCTAGGTATAACAGGTAAAGGGGAACTACTCTGTCTAGGTGTAAATAACAGGTAAATGGGGACTACTCTGTCTAGTGGTATAAATAACAGGTAAAGGGGGACTACTCTGTCTAGGTGTAAATAACAGGTAAATGGGGACTACTCTGTCTAGGTATAACAGGTAAAGGGGAAATACTCTGTCTAGTGGTATAAATAACAGGTAAAGGGGGACTACTCTGTCTAGGTGTAAATAACAGGTAAATGGGGACTACTCTGTCTAGTGGTATAAATAACAGATAAAGGGGGGCTACTCTGTCTAGTGGTATAAATAACAGGTAGAGGGGGACAACTCTGTTTAGTTTGTTGTATAAGTAACAGGTAAAGGGGGAC